TATATATATATATATATATATATTAAGCGGTTACAAGCCTAGTGGCGATTACACTTTCAGCATAGTTGGTGATTATAAATAGATTCTCAAAACACGCTAACTTATTATAATTAGTCATTAATACTAGTTTAGTAGTTTCTACTCCTGGTTCGCCTATATTAGAGCTAGGACTAGATCTGGTGGAGTGAATATGATAGTAGATTGTGAGGATGGTGTTAGCTTGGTACCCATTTTGCACAAAAAATCTGCTACTTTGTTGGCTTGACGAAATTTGAAAGTTATGGCGGACCACTGAATTTCCCAACTTCTTCATAAGTAATCTGCAAGAAGTGATAGTGGATGCATAACTAGGTTGTGTGTGATTCAGTGCGTCAATTAATTATGTGGAATCAATTTCAATCTCTATGGAATTCAGCTTATGAGCAATGGCAAGTTTTAGCCCACCGATAAGAGTTTCAATTTCAGTTATGATATGGTTGTAACTTAATCAACTTATTTATATTTTTAAAGAAATTCTCAAATCTTAAAGTTATCAACTTTTTATAATGTTAACAACTTTAAGGTGATTTCAGGCATTTTGATTAAAAAAAAATTGTTTAACAGCACTTACGTACCAAACACATCAACAATTTTTTCCAGCGGCAACACTTTTATCCAAACACATAACTACTTATTTTAAAAATAACTTTCAGCACTTTAAAAAGTTACTTTTTAAAGTCAATCCAAACGGACTTTATATATCCTTGTCATCTAATAAATAGTGCATATATACTCTTATCATTTAATAAATATTATAATTTACCCTTTTCGTTAACATATAGAATTTTTTAAAAAGAAAATCTCAAAATTGATTTTTTAAAATTCAAAAATGTCATGTCGCTTACAAAATTACGTCATCCATTTTTTTTTACTCATCCAAACCCGATCCAATTAAAACAAATCAATTCTGCCTCTATTTAGATCCGATCTAAATCAATTTTATGACTGAGTAGAAGAAAAAATATTATTTTTGGGGCGGATCTAGAGGCATAGAAAAGAGGTGAGATAATTTTTAAAGATCATCAGTCACCGCGTGATATTTTTAAAATTAAAAAATCAGTGTTATAATTTTTTCCAATTAGGTAAATATAAATTTATTGACGAAAAGAATAAATATACATCATTTATTAGATAATTAGAATATATATGCACCACTTTTTAATGAGGATATATTACTTACTCTAAATCGAAAGATATATTCTCTGTATATTTTATTTTTCGGTGGTTCTCTTTTCTAATTATCGCACGACCTTATCCGTCCCCTAAAAGAACAAAAAACATGATGAACTGAATCCTAGTCATTATTTTTTGTCATGTTCATGAGTCATGAGTCATGAGTGGAATGTATACGGAAGATCCCACTCCATCACTTTTGATTTCCATTCTATTCAGATGCCAAATTTTAACCAATCAAATATTTGAATTAAATTTTAAAATTTAATAGAGTTTGAAACTCTTGAACAACTTTTACAATCAAATAAATATTTTTTGATCATATTAAAAATATGTATACAATCAAAATTAATATTAAAAAAATAAAACTTTAAAATCTAATCCAAAGTCTGGTTAAACACTTATTAAAGTTTGGCATCTCCGCGGAATGGAAATCTAAGCCGGTCACAAGAGGAGAAAATTTGGTCTTCAAATATTTTTAAATTCCATTTTGATTGAGTTTTGGGGACTTTATATTTATTTTTATAAATAAAATTGAGGATGGGGAAGGATATTACAAGATGGTGAATCAAATCTTCACCATCAAGGTAGAAATTTATGTAGCCAAACTAACTTAGCTTCTAAGATTCCTTGTTTTTTATAGAACTTTCACGCACAAAGCTATATTCTTTTTCCAAATAAATTCATGTTCGAACACAACTTAAAACACTCAAATTTTCAAAATAAACTCTCTTTGATAAACATCTTATCGGTGACTCGATTTTAAATATTATTTAGAATTTGTGTGTGTCTTTCACCTTGTGTTTTTTTTTTACATTTCAAGTTTCAACTTCAAAATGTATGGTCAAATGGAAACTCAACGTCAGTTTATGATTGAGTAATTCATTGAGGCGCGAATTCAAAATAATCGGACTCCTAAAGCTATGCGGGTACCAAATGTGAAATAAAAAAAGGAAATTACCAAGCACTAGAAATAGTAGTTATAAACTATTTACGCTACAAACCTTTCTTTTCCCAAAAATAACGTCCATATTTCATTTTGAAATACTGATTAATTCAGATTTGCATACCTGAAGCCCACTGAAATGCTGGCAACCAAGATCTTTTCTCTATCTTCCCTTCAGGTTTACATAAGGTTCCTTCGTAATTTCTGCCTCTTTAAATAAGTCACATGTGAACGTACTAATAAATCACGTTATTTTTATTGGACTACACTCTGTATAGCATAAATGAGAATTTAGTTTGCACATGCCACTCGGACCAATTTATAATTTGAGATACAAGTATACAATTGAAATTCTAAAGAGTTGCTACAGTTTTTCAGTAATTTGCCAGAAGGACAATAAGAACAACCTTCTACTTTTAATTTTATTTTTATTTTTTTGGGAAGAAACTATTATTTTCATGTTTTCTTACTAATTACTACTACTAGTATTATTTTTCCTAAAAGCTTCACCAAACACTAGTACTCTATAAACTAAAGCAATATCTTGTTTAAAGAAAATCACTTTTTGCCTTTCAAAAATTCAACCAAACAAACTAACTATGAATTGTATGGTGTGCACTGTGCGGACATGGTCTCACATCACTAGTTGAGAAAACAATTTGGAAAGCAATACAAATCAATTTTGAAAAACGGTAACTTCCCCATGTTGTTGTTTACCAATAGGAGAAGACAAATTCAACAAAAGCTCAAGTAACACATAAATCTAAAAAAAATGTGCAAACGAAGGACTTTATTTTTTTAATCTAGAGAACGAGGCTGCCTGCGAAAAGGCACATCCTTCTTTATCACCACAACTTCCCCATGTTGTTGTTTACCATCTTCGGTCTCTTTTACGTTTTCCACCTTTGTCTCTGTTTTCTTCTTTGATACTCGGAATGCGCTCTTCAATCCATTCATAAACCTTCTACTAAAATTTATCTTTTCCACTTTCTCGTAAGATACTTCTGATGAATTAGACGATCCCATAACCGCTCTATCTCTAGCGGTAAGTATCCGGAAGCTTGCTGATGAAACTGATCCAATTTGTCCTCTATCGATCTTATTCTCGGAACTCAATCGAAAACTAGCAGAGCGAGCAGAGTTATTCTTCGCGTTTTGATCTGATTCGTTAAGAAGTTTCTTCATGCCACTCAACTCTTGCTCTAAACTCTGGATTCGCGAGCTTGTGGCGTTCATAGCTGCCTTAAGCTGTGACACTTGACGAAGTGCTGCGTCTCGCTCGAGAATTGCACCCAAACTGACATCATTTTTGCTTCGGAGAAGATCAATGTGATGATCGTGGTTGTCAGCAGCAGTGGACGTTAGGATAGAGCGGCGGGTGCTCAATTGCTCAATGAACATGGCTTGGACCACAAACCTTAATGGCATTCTGGCGTTTTGGACCGCATGCATGAGAAGTTGTGGCGAAAGGATGCTACAGTCGATGTAATTGCACATTATGATTTTTTCTTCATCTGTTATCTTCCCCTTGTATTCCTGTTGAAAGAACAGCGTAACTAACAAATTAAAGGAATGAAGTGCATCATTGCTATTAGGAAACTATGAACTGGATTAAAAATTTATATTATACTCTCTTGTTCCAATTTGTGTGATATAGTTTGAATTTTGTAAATTGGGATTGGGGGTATCTTACCTTAAGATAAAGGTCAACAACTCTATAGAGTTGATCATGGCTTCCACTCAACCACCGATTCATGGACATCACGATTAACTGAAATTCCACAGGCCGCAACTCTTTAACTTCGCTGAGGCACTTCATAATGCTGTCACCGTTGTCTACCAAACTTAACGCTTCAATACATCTACTCAACAGTGGCGATGTCGTTTCACACTCCGGGAGCAGAGAAACACAAGAACGCAGCACGATCGATGCATATTCACGATTAACGGCAATTACACGGCGGAAATATGCTTCCGTTTTCTGAGCCAAGTTTTCGCCACCGGCAATGTTATTAGCCTCCGTCATCTCTAGCAATTCCGCCGCCGTACGAAGTGCGGCGACGTTAAACGGCGTAACGACGATGTGCGAGTCATAACAAAACTCTGCGATCAAAGAGAATGTTTCGGCCGTTATCTTTAACGGCGGAGAGAGGGTTAATTCGGACAGACCCTTCAGCTTTCTTTTCAGAAATCCACTCCTTGCTGCCAACGGATCCTAAGGTAAATTTAGTAAATACTCAGTAAATGCCCCCAGTTTTTGCATTAATTGAGAAATGTACACTTCAGTTGTAGGCACAGCTATCAAGTGCATAATTGTAAAACAATTTTATGATCTTCAATTATGTAGTGGATATTTCCAAAAGCTAGTGTCAATTTGAATTATAAGAACTGCAAAATATAATATGTCTATTTTATATCTTGAAATATTCAAACAAAAGAAAAAGAAGTGCTGATAATGGTGAAAATAAAACTCAAAACTATTTTGTCTTTTTAACCTTTAAGGGATAATTTTATTTTATTTTTAATTTGTTAATGCAACACTTATTTCTGTAGGAAAATACTAGTAAATTTTTGCAATCAGAAATTCTAAAAATGAAAGAAGAAAGGGGGTATTCTGGAAATATGTAGTAACTAGGAATGGGCCTTGATGACTAGACAATTGCATCTCATATTAACATTTTATTATAGTGTCCTACTGTACTTTTTTTGGACTATACTGTTTGAACTTGAACATCTTATCATGTTAATTCTTGTATTGTTTGTGAAATAGTTTTCATATTTATGTATAGACACACAGATAGTATAGATTTGTGTTGAAACAATTTAACTTAAGTTTATGTTAAGATACGAACAAATAAACAAATTATTCGGTCAACTTTAGTCCTGTTCAGATTGATGGAGATGTAGCAACAACACACCAACAAGTCAATAATTTTAAAGAAAAAAATTGTGGAAGAAACAAAAAAACAAATTAAAAAAAGGAACAAGTTCCTTCTGAATCAATTTACCCATGGGTAAAAAAGGAGGAAAAGATAAAGGTGAAAAATGAAAAATGATTGGAGCATGAAAGTACCTTGTGTAAGCGAAAACGTGAGCTCTCAACATGTATGACTACATCAGTCTCATTTCCAGTAACTTGTGACCTTACATAACAAATGCAGATAAAAAATCAAGCGTAAACCATGTTTATTGAAAGTAAATTCACATTTTAGTAAATCGTATAAACCTCCAATATATTCCTATAATTTTAAAAAAGACATATTATCTGATACAACATATATGTATAAGTAATTAAATTATTACCAGGAGACGACCTTAGAGCGGGGAGATGGGGAGATTCCTGGAGAGATCGAAAGAGAAGAAGTAGAGGAATCTTCAGCATCGTCTTCATAAATAGTATCAACAATCCCTAAATCTGCCCAATTTCTGATGGCTTCCATGGCCAACCCCTTTAATTTTCACCTTACAGCCCAGTTCTACTGCTTCCGCTGAAAACGTTACGTTTTTTGTTTTATGGCTGAGTACTAGTGGAGAAACCAAGGAAATAGAGGAGGTGAAAAAGAGAATTATTCCCCCGCTGGTAATAATGTAGTTGAGGGGCATTAATTATTTGCAGGTAAGGTAATAAATGCTTTTTTCCCTTAATAATCTTTTGGGAATGGAAATTCAAAATTACTTGCTTCCTTTTGTGAGTACTATTGAATGGTAATTTTGCAATCTGATTTGCTTTCTTATGTAAATCTCCACTTTCCTTAAAAACCCATCAAACTGCACAGAACCTGACTAGTCCAAACGGTTGGAAAGCTACACTGGACGGAAGAGAAACAAATATTTTACTAAAAATAGAATATGGCGATCATTAATTTGTTTTTCGATTGAAAAGAGATGTACTAAACCTGTTTACCAAATGGCAGCAACAAAGAAATATCCTCACATATAATCAACGTGAATCTGAATTAGTAAGAAATTTCAAATACTGAAAAAAAGAAGTCTAAGCTTGTCTATGAAATGACAATGGCAAATACTATTGAAGGAGGGGTGGAAGCTATCGCTTTCAGGAGCGGTGCATGTAGTTGTGCCAAATTGAACTAAATAAGAGACTCATTCAAAGGGGGGGGGGGGGGTTAA